ACAACCCAATTGCTGGGTTTGTCCCTATTTTACCCAGCACTGGGTTGTGTTTAACCCAGCATTTTTTAGAGTGTGAGAACCTGATCAATGGATTCCCATAGACAAACATAGCTCAGCCCTGGATCTCATAGCTGATTGAAAACATATGTTTTAGATGACTTAAGCCTGGGTAGAGTTATGTAACAGATTTGAGCCACTGTCTCTGCTTCTCTCTCTTGTCTAGGAATGAACACTAATATATCTTGGATATTTGCATCTTGGAGGCCACCCAACCCCTGCATCGTTTAAATGAAATGGGAACTGCAGTAAAGTGCTGGCCCAATATCAGAAAGTAGATTAGACTGATTAGCTTATACACAAGACAAAAATACAGAGACTGGACTTTCAAGATGTCATCATTGACTGGATCCATCCTAGCATACTGCTTACTACATAATGTAAAGTTTACTGTTGACTACTTTTGTGAAAATAGCACATGAAACAATATATGCACTATGCAATCATACACATTAGTTCCCTATTTGGTGTTACGTGACCTCAACACATTGTATATTTAATTAGGTCAAGTAAATCCATAAAGCAAATAAATATGGTTATTTTACATTTCGCACAAAATGTCTTTACTTGTCAGTCCAATCTAACAATGGAAGGTCAAGCACATTGCATTGTGGGATGCAGTATCAACACTTTATACATTTCGGTCGTCAGTTTTCCTACACGCTCAGAAAAAAAAGGTACAGAAGCTGTCACTGGGGCGGCGCCCTTTCAAAAGATAGCCTACACCTTTTATTTGTGTCACATGTATGGTCTGTCTCCTGTGTTTCATTGTGTTTTTGGTTCAGTCCCTGTAACCTAGTTCTCCCCAGTCTGTTTAATTAGTCATATGTCATTCACCTGTGCCCTGTTTATGTTTATTAGTTATTTGTCTGATCTCGTCTAGATGTAACGTCAGTGTTAGTGGATGTATTTGTCTTTCTCCTGTGGATTTATTAAAGACTGCGTTTTGGAATTCTCCTTTGTCATGCACTCCTTACTATCTCGTTACATTACAATTTGCCCCTAAAGTGTCCAGTTTAGTACCTTAAATGTACATATTAGTGTCACGGTGCGTGTGGGGAGATGAAGCGAGGACTCAATTGCAGGAGAAATGGTTATTTATTTTGATAATAAAAATGAAACAAAAACAAACTCAAACCACCCCGAAGGGGAAAAACAGACAGGCAGGCCTAAAGCTGCACACATGCAGACACGAAACACACACAATGAGAAATGACGGATCAGCACAGGATGACAGACACAAGGAGAATAAATGGGAACCAAACGAGGAGGCTAACGAGGGAGACACAGGTGGATCAACTTAAACTATAACGAGGTAACAAGATGGGAGGGGCAAGACAATAGACAGGAGAGAGCACATGGCGACAGACAAACACAACACAAGCCATGTGCTCCCAGAACACAGTCATCTGGTGGCCCTCCTGGGCACACCCGCTGCAGACTGCGACAATTAGTAAATTGGTACAAATTAGTACCTTTTCAAACGGTACCACCGCAGTGACAGCTTTTGTACCTTTTTTCTGAAAGGTGTGTTCCATGTTTAAAAGTTGCATTTGTATATTCATGCATACTATATACTGCAAAAATAATACGAGTAATATAGTATGCCATTCCACATATGATTGAGTCCTAAAATGTCCCTGAAAAGTAGTATATTTTTGTTTATTAATAATTTTAAAGGTCATTTTCCAGGTATGTACTTTTAACACGAGGTACACAGAAGAAAAAAAAATCTGTAGAAAAATGGATAATGTTCTGACAGAAAATTACCACACCTTTATCCATTAAGTTTACAGACATTTCCTTCAAACCTAAAATACAACACAATGCAATGGATAATGCAAAATATGAGTAAAACACCTGTGAAAAATCAATATTAAAGGGGTCATATGATGTTGCTAAAAAGAACATTATTTTGTGTCACACCGCGGCGGCCTAGAGTGAGCAGAGGCAGGCGGGCTTGAGAACGGCGCTGCCGGCAGATTCGACGAAGGAGCGTCCGGCAGGCTTGTGGCAACCACATGTGACGACCCCGGGCTGGACTCCGCTTCGTCCAAATGTGTTTATGCGGTTTAAAGTTTAAAAAACACATTATTTTCCACATACTGTACATTATTGTTTCTCCTCTATGCCCCGTCTTTCTGAAACGCGTCGATTTTTACAAAGCTCATCGGTCTGAAAAGTGAGGTGTGCTCTGATTGGCCAGCTATCCAGTGCGTTGTGATTGGCCGAATACCTCAAGTGTGTGACGGAAATGTTACGCCCCCTCACCATACTGTGATGCCGGCATTGTAGTATACTCTTCCAGGATCAGGGAACAGTCCTCCATAAAATGTGCTGGACACATCTGAATATTTGGGTTGAAGTGTTCTGGAACAGTGTTGTAAATACAACTTAACCACTGATTTCTAGTCGTGTCCATTTTTGGAAGGCCAAACAAAGTAGTTTCGCTTTCACAATGAAACAGCTTCACACACCGCGGCGGCCTAGAGTGAGCAGAGGCAGGCGGGCTTGAGAACGGCGCTGCCGGCAGATTCGACGAAGGATTTATGGACTTTTCTTAGAGAGATATATTCCAAGTCTTCTAAAGTTTACATAATTAATGGAAAATAGTCTCTTTTTTTTTTATTATGTTTACCAAGCATGAAAGAAAGTAGCAAGTTACTTGTTACTTTCTTTCATCCTTAGAAAAACCCTATTTTCCATTAAATGACATGAGAGGGAGTAAATGATGACAGAATGTTCATTTTTGGGTGAAGTGTTCCTTGAAATTGTTTGTTTTTATTCATTTGTAAGTCACTTTGATCAAAATCGTCTGCTGAATGAACAAAATCATCTGCTAAATAAATAATGTATGTAGCTTTTTTTTAATTATTCAACATTAACTGCCAAAACATTTGGCAACAATACTGATATATGATCAGATGATATAGGGTTTTAAAAGGAGAGCATGAAGAGAAGAAAAAAAAAAAAAAAAAAAAAAAAAAAAAAAAAAAAAAAAAAAAAAAAAAACATCTCCTCCCAAAGAGACGCAGCAACAGTGAAGTCTTTATCTTAGTTTAAATGCTGATCAATAGCCGAAGGCTGTAACTCTCGGGAGGTTTTCATAAAGCGCCCCATCATGCATAATATAACTCAGCACTCAACTTCTGGCTTCGTTTGCTTGCTTTCAGCAGATGGGAAAGCAAGGTCGCCGGGCAGATACGTCTGCTGCCATCCTCGTCTCTCACCTTGAACAGCATCAAGGCCTGCCAGAAACCCAATGATCTGTTGCAACCGCATGCACTTACACCCTCTCTTTCGATCTCATTTCTGTTTAGTGTGATTGTCTATTCATTTCAGTTTCCAAATGACATACTGCAGAAGAGGTTCTCTGGAGAAAGCTCGAGGCGCTGTGAAGTGAGAGTTAGGCAGTTAGACACATCTCTTGTTCCTCTTCCAAGTGAGTTCTAGTTTAGT